AAGGGGAGCCTTGAATACAAAGAAAGGTGGATGTTCCCAGAAGCACTACTTCAGCAATCCCCAAAGTCTCCCTGGCTCATTATGCATATCAGAATGTTGGGGGCTCACAGACCAGAGGAGAGGCTGGAAGCTGGGAGAGGTACAGGAGAGGATGTGGGAGGATTCCAGCTCTGGGACAAGGTTGGTATGCCGTATTCCTCCAGGGGAGAAAGGCGATACAGGAGCTGCACCATCGCTGGGTAAGTACATCCCAAAGTCTCTTCAAGGTTTCCAGCATCTTTACTGTCTGTTTGTGAGTACAGAGGAGTGAGCTTCAGAGTCTGAAGTAGCATGAAACATCTGTGGGCCCAGCCAGCTTCCCAGCCAGCACTCGGACCTATCCCAACTCTGGATACAGTCACAGACAGGACAACACATACATGGCAGCCAAACACACAAAGGAGCCTGAGCCAGCAGGGGCCAGCCAGGATGGGTGTGCTGGGCGCATTAGTGGGAGGGTGCAGCACCATCTATGCCAAGTAGAGTATGGGGTCTAGGGAGTTATATGTGCTGGAAAGGGGCTAAGGAAGAAAACAACGCTCAAGTCCCTGCCCAGGTGAGAAGGAGCTGGGAGACACCCTATGCCAGAGAGGTAAGTGACCTCCCTGCTGGCCCCTCCTACTTCCTGCTATCAATACAGAAAGTCCCCACCCACGTTACTGGATCCTCTTGCTTGGATATCTAACCTCGGAGCATACCCCAGGTACAGGCCAATCCTGCCCACTTCTCCATGGTACAGGGCCCGGGAGCTGCAAAGACTTGCTGACACGGGGCATCTTCCTAACTGGCTGGTACACCATCCATCTTCCTGACGGCCGGCCACTGACTGTGCTCTGTGACATGGATGTGGATGGTGGGGGCTGGACCGTGAGTAAGGAGGCTCTGTGTGGGGCATAAGAAGTTTACACACAGCAGCCATACTCTGGAGAGCCAAAGACAGGGAGACGGCAGAGTAACCAGAAAAATAAAAAATAAAAATGTGGTGCCTTCCCCTCCAAGGAGACCCTAAGCACTGAGGGACCAGATCTAGAACTCTGTGAAGTGAGTTAAGTTGGCGACAGGACCCCAGTCAGAGCAGATGCATCAAAACATCTGTCAGCCCTGGGCCACTAGCATCTACCAGTCACCTTTTCAACCCCCTGTACGCCCTGCCCCCGAAACCTCGTCCTCATTCAGTTCTTTTTTTGCTTGTTTGTTTGTTTGTTTGGTTGGTTTGGTTTTTCGAGACAGGGTTTCTCTGTGTAGCCCTGGCTGTCCTGGAACTCACTTTGTAGACCAGGCTGGCCTCAAACTCAGAAATCCGCCTGCCTCTGCCTCCCAAGTGCTGGGATTAAAGGCATGCGCCACCACTGCCTGGCCCTCATTCAGTTCTTTATAGGACTGGGAAAAACAAAACAACAAAACAAACAAACAAACAAAGCCCAAGACCTGGACATATCCCTCAGGTTTCTGCTCTTAGGAGCCTGACACCCACACTCTGCCCTACCCACCCCACAGGTTTTTCAACGACGAGTGGATGGGTCCATCGATTTCTTCCGAGACTGGGACTCCTATAAAAGAGGCTTTGGCAACCTGGGCACGGAGTTCTGGCTGGGTAATGACTACCTGAACCTGCTCACAGCCACTGGTGAGGAGGCAGCCTCTCGGCCATCCCCTGCCTTCCACTACTCGGCCTGACCTTTTTCCCTTCTTCCACCCATTCTGCCAGGGAACCAAGAGCTCCGGGTCGACTTAAGAGATTTCCAAGGTAAAACCTCCTATGCCAAGTACAGCTCATTCCGGGTGTCTGAAGAACAGGAGAAATACAAGCTGACCTTGGGGCAGTTTCTGGAGGGCACTGCAGGTAAATCACAGAAAGCTTAAGGCTGTTGGTGAGGATGTGGAAAGGGGCCTGCCAGCATCCCCTGCCCATCTGGGATGGGCTCTGCCTTGGCCCTGAGGGCTGACACGTATGAGTCTTTGCAGGAGACTCCCTGACAAAGCACAACAACATGTCATTCACAACCCGTGACCACGATAATGACACAAACAGAATGAAGAACTGTGCAGTATTGTTCCATGGAGCCTGGTGGTACCATGACTGTCACCAGTCCAACCTCAATGGACGCTACTTGTCTGGCTCCCATGAGAGTTATGCAGATGGCATCAACTGGCTAACTGGCCAAGGCCACCGCTACTCCTACAAGGTTGCTGAGATGAAACTCCGGGCATCATAAGGTACCCAGCCTCCACCCACAGGCCATGTGGAGACTGAAGGAAAGGATCAGGAAAAGAGAAGTCTGTGTGCTGTCTGTTGTGTGCTCTCTACACTCCCTCTGGACACTGTCCAGCACTGACCAGTATGCACCAATAAAGGTCAGAGAAGCAGAGGTAGAAGCCTGGTCACTGAGAGGGTTGCCAGTATCGAAGGGCAGCAGGCAAGGGAGGCCCCCACACATCCATGGTGGCCTTGAGGCTGAGACACAGACAGCATCTCACCCTCACCAATATAGCAGCACCAGGGAGGAGTCAGCACAGCCTTCCAAGACCCGCTTCCAGGAACAAACCCATTAGTGAGTGGAAAGGCCAACTTGACACCAACTTGGTCCCTGCTGTGGCCCTGAACTGAGAAGTGCAGCAAGGGTTTCATGGGGCCTGGAGTTCCTTCCCACAGTCTCTTCTACCACAGCAACTCCATGGCCTCTCTGGACACAGGGGACATAGATTGAAGTGTCCAGTGCTGAGTATAGTCTAGCCCCAGAAAACAAAAGACAGATAGATGGAGGATGGTGACCTCAGGAACTCTGGGAGGACAGTGGGCTGAACAGGGGTCCTTCTGACAGACACAGGGAAGCCTTAAGGAGCCTGAGGCTCAACCAGGAGCCCAGAGGCCCCTGGGAAGGTGGTCACACTGGGCAGATGGTAACACCCTAAGAGCAAACTGAGGCCTAAAGGACTGAGTGTTGCTGAGAGTCATCCTTGGCTCATTCTCCAGAAACAAGTTTCTCTCTCCTGGAAGATTCAGAGGAGGAGGCCTACAGTGCAGACCCATAATAACAGAGCAGTGCTGTGTCCAGGCTGAGGCCCAGGAGTACAGAGCCAGGACCCACCATGGGAAAGATGCTGCATGTGAGTAGGCAGGCCAGGAGCTCCATGACCACACAGCCAGCCTTGCCAACCGTTCAGGATCTTGAAGGCCATCTGGCAGAGAAAAGTGGGCAGCAAGTACAGGAGGTAGAGGCAGCAACTTGGATGAGACCTGCTGGCCAGGGCCCTGAGAGAGAGAAGCACCAAATATCCAAGCTGACAGGGAGGGGTGGGACCGTGCCAATGTTAGCAGGACACAAATGGTACTTCCATCCATGTGGACACATAGGCTATGGGCAACTGAAGTAACTCTCTGGGGCAAATCTGGGGATACCAGGGACAGCCACTGTTCCTATGTTAGGGAATCCGGTATCTTAGAGCCTGGACCAAGAACACAAACCCAATTTGTTGTCCTCCATAGAGAGGCAGGAAGAACAAGGGAAAGGCTCAGAAGCTGGATGGGAGAAGGGAGACAGCAGAGTCTGGAGTGGGGATCTGAAGACAGACAGGTCCCCACTCAGGGGCCTTCTTCCTAGATACCCCAGGGCTCGCAGCCAGTATTCCTAACTGCCAAGAGCAACCAGTGCTCCTAACTGCCAAGCCATCTTTCAAAGCACCCAATTATCAATCTTGAAACAAACAAACAAACAAACACGAAAGGAACAAAGAAAGAAACAAAGAGGAAAGAAAAGGTGTAGTTGGTGCAGTGTCACATGCCTTTAGGCCCAGCACTTGGGAGGCAAAGGAAGGCAGATCAATGAGTCTGAAGCCAGCCTAACCTACAGAGCAAGTTCTGGACAGCCAGGCTACACAGAGAACCCTTGTCTTGAAGAAAGAGAGGGGAGGGGGGAAGAAGAGAAAGAAAGAGTGAGTGAGTGAGTGAGTGAGTGAGTGAGGCATTCTGGAGAGATGGATCAGCAGATAAGAGTACTTACTAGTCTTATAGAAGGCTGGAGTTCAGCTCCCAGCACCCATATCAGGCCTCTGTCATAGATTTCTGTAACTCAAATCCAGGGGATCCATTACCCTCTTCTGGCCTCTACAGGCACCTACATGTGCTCCTAACCACACACAGACACACATGACTAAAAAAGAAAACATAGGGGAGATGGCTCTGCCTTTAAAGTTCTTTCCACACAACCATGAAGACCAGAGTTCAATCTCCACTCCTCCCTACTCTCCTACCCCCATCGGAAACAGAGCCTCAACTTTAGCCCTGTCTGACTCAACATCACCCTGCCATCACCTCCCCGGTACTAGGATAACTAGGGTGCCATTCCAGCCAGATCCCCAACACACTTTTCATCCAAGTATAGTCACCTGGCAACCCCTCCCTGTATCCAAACCTGCTATCCACAGTCTGAGCCCAAGCTATACAGCTGAATCCTGACACAGACAATCAGACTATGCTACCAACAGGACTGCAGAGACACTTTGTGGTGAGTCACACAACCCATTGCATTCCCTGGGACATATTTGCTGCCCTCTCTGTCTCTAACTCCTCTCCTAGCTTGGTTGGTAAAGTTGGTATCAGGTACTCCACTCACCTGAATCCTTGTGTTCTGCTTCTCATAGCAAAGTCCTTGCCCGTCCCCAGCTCTGAAACAAGCCACAGGGTTCTCTTTCACACACCATCCAATCCTCTTTCACCCTGGCTCATAACTTTACAGAATGCTCAGCCCACCTGTTCCCCTCTGAGAGCCTTTTGGATGTCCCATGTCCTGACTTCTCCCTGTCCAGCCAATACCTTCGGACCTACTGTGGGCAACCAACGTCTAACTCTATCAACTCTTCCATAGGATCCCATGCCCTGACACCAAAAAAACGGGCTCAACTGAACTTCTGGAATTCCAGTCTCTACTCTGTTGTAGCTTTCAGAGAGAGAACCCTTAACTGTAGTCACTGGAGTCTTAAAACAAGAAAGTCCCATGTCATGTAGTAAGAACAATGACTGCGTTCTCTGAATAAGAAAATGAGGGGTAGAGAAAGCCAGGCCTGATTCAATGTCACAAAAACTAAGATACAACCCCACTTCACCCCGCCCACCAGAAGCTCTCGGTTATAGGTCCCGCCCCCTAGGCCGGGCAATCAGCGCCTGACCTTCTTTGCTACCTTCTGCGCAGGCCCGAGTCTTAGGCCCCGCCCTGCCTCCTTGGTGGAACCTGACCAACCATGGTGAATCTGGGCCTGTCCCATGTGGATGACGCCGTGGCCGCCAAGCACCCGGTGAGAAGGCTGGTCTGGGGTGCTGGCCCTAGAAGCTGATCTGAGGCAGAGTAGAGGCAGGGGAAGCCCCGTCAGGGAATGGCTGAGTGGGGAAACCCTCTTGCCTTAGGAATAGGGCACGCTAAACGGGTTTAGGGGAGGGTAGAATATATCCAGTCCCCAGTCTCCCTTGCCAAGGCCAGGTCATACTGAAAGGAGAAGCAGGAGGGAAGGAGGAAAGAAAACTGACCCATGAACACCTCCCCCGCCCCCCAATCCCAGGGACTCGAAGAATATGCTTCCTGCCAGTCGAACGCCTTCATGAAGGGCGTTTTCACTTTTGTCACAGGTAAGTTAGTTCCAGGGGTCTTGGGTAACAAAAGAACATCTTAAAGGGTAAAAATGTAACCTCTTGTCTCACCCTGTCAATCCAGCAGGCGGCGCCAAATCATCTTGCCTGCAGGTGCAGCAGGTACCCTGACTAGCACTTTGTTTGGCTCTTGGCAGGCACTGGTGTGACTTTTGGCCTGCAGATGTTCATTAGGAGGAAGTTTCCACACCCTGTGCAGTGGAGCTTCCTGGTGTCTGCCGGTGAGTGCTCCACGGTGGGTGCCTAGGCCCTATAGTGCATCCGTTGCCAGTGACTCTACAGTGTTGGTGTGTTTCCATTAAATACCAGACTGTGATCTAGCCTGTTTTGGCTGGAGCCTACCCACTCTATCTGCCCAGAAGTAGCTTGTGCCAGGTCCCCTTCTGAAAAGTTCAGAGGCTGAGGTCCCCTCCCCACCCCACCCCTTCCTGCTTCCTGTACTCCAGTTGTAGGTTCTGTGGCCAGCTACAGAGTAACAAGAATGGAGTGTGAGAAATGCAGCAATCTCTGGCTCTTCCTGGAGACTGGGCAGCTCCCCAAAGACATGAGCACAGGTGAGAGGGGCCCAGAGGGACAGCAAGCAGTTTCAGGAAGGCAAGCCCACAAGACTCAAATGATGGGCTGAAGCCCTTCGCTTGAGCCAGTCCTACTGGAGAGGCTGGGGCCAGAAGCAAGCATAACAGAGATTGAGCAGTGCATTCCCAGGAGGAAAATCCAGGAAATTAGGATGACCCTGAGACAGAGGGGAAGGGCTTGTAAGGTGTGGGGCAGGACACAGCAGCTACATAGACAACCCAGAAAAAAAGCGTCCAGAACTGTGACCCTAAATCTAATACCAAGATGGTGGACCCCAGGCCTGCCTGTCCTTGTTATCAGGCTCAGATATTCTGTTTGTTTTGTTCTGAGAAAGGGTCTATAGCCCAGGCTGGCCATGAGCTGCTTCTGCTGCTTCTTCTGCCTAGGCTTGGGATCCTAAGTCCCTGGAACCACATCTGACAGGATCTTTTGTCATGATACAACAGGATCAGGGACTCAGAAAGCACAAACATGAGTCCACCCGTCTCCCTTTGCTTCTTACAGATCCTCACCACTAGAAGAGCTCTGGCCTCTGCGGTGTGCAGGTGCAAAGCAGGGACAATCCTGGAGCAGATGTGACATCATCTAAGTCCAGGCTGGTGCTCCTTACCTCACCAAACACACGCACATGCATCCTCGTGGGTCATCTCTCTCCTGCACAGGTGTGTGGGGAGCCTGCCTGAAAACCTATCCAAATCCAGGACTCGCCCAGGCCGCCAGCTCAGAAGAGGACTTAGGAGAGGGGATCTCCTCCAGAGCAGCAGGGAGCCAGGGTATCAGTATGAATTGGAGAGGCTTATACCCTGCTGCACACAACTGTTGGGGCAGCAGCCTGCATGTGGTGAAAGAGACTTGTGTGCTTTCTCTGGTGTCTTAGGACCCCTTCTCTGATCTCTGTGCCCCAAATCCAAGCAGAATATTGGAGAGTTGTAGCTAACAAATGGCTTGTCCTTTTTCCTATGTGAGCTCTAAAGCAATTAAACACCAGCTGGTGAGGTTGTTCTGTGGGTAAAGCACCTGGTGTTAAGCCTGGTGACTGAGTTTGATTCCCAGGAACCATGTGGTGGTTGGAGTAACAGCTCCCCCAAGTTGTCCTCCAGTTGCCACGTGCATACTGTGGCATATAAGTTCTCATTTCACCTGTACAGACACACAGGAAATGAATAATTCAAGTCTAATTGTAAAATAGAAAGGCCAGGCATAGTGGTGTGTGGGAAAAAGCTGTGGCGGAGGAGTCCCAGAGGCATTCCATGCGGCAGGTCCCACAAACAGGAGAAAGGTTTGGAGTTCCAAAGGCTGGAGGCTTTGACGGCAGGCCCCAATGACATGAAAAAGGCCTTGGTTCCAAAAGGGTTTATTTTCATGGTGGATGGTAGATAGATCTGGACAGGAACCTTATTTTGAAAAACCAAATAAATAAGAAAGTAGAGAGTAAGAAGATGTAATCATCCACTTCTGTGGCCATACAGCTAACATTTATTTTAGCTCATGGTTTTGGAAGATCAAGGTCCCACAGCCACTTTGTGGTGGCTGTCATTCTGGCAGACTCCCGAAACATCGTGACCAGAAACAAAGCATACATGTTTCTTCCTATAAAGCCATCAAGGGTTGATCATGGTGGCCCTACCCTGGTAACTCAAATTCCAACTATCTCTCAAAGGCTCTACCTAGAACACAATGGGAGTTAAACCCTGGCCAGCATGAACTTTGCAGGACTAACCATCTTCAAACCCTGGCAGTGTTTTAAGAGCAGCACTGGGGTCAAGGACCCAGGCTTCCTTCAATCTGCTCCTTGTTGTCATGGCCCCCACTTCCCATTCTAGCTCACCCTGCCAGGTGGTTCCACCAGCTCTATCCCATTTAACAGGAAGGGGAAAGGGAGAGGAGGGCAGTCAGTCCACCATGTCTGCACACACACTACTGGCCAGCACTAAGCCGCACGGTACCTCTATTGTAAGGAAACTCAGGAAGGCGGCCCTGCTCTGCACAGCCATGTCACCCACTGTATCTGAGGGGAAAGGAAGAGCCAGTGTCAGGGAATACACCTGACTGCCTCAGCTGGATACCAAGGCAGGTCACCAAACACTAGGGAGGTCAGGTGAGCAGCTGTACCCAGAGCCAGTCCTTCCATTCCTCTTGAGGATGGGGCATAGACCAGAAGGGAGGCAAGGGGTGAACATGGAGGTTAGACTGGACAGAAAAGTGGCTCAAAGGTAAGGAATCCATGTGAGAGGTCATAAGAAGCTCGGCACTAATGTGTCCAGTGTTACACATGCTCTGACTACATAACCTCCAAAATTCATACACCAAAATCCTAACCTCCGGGGACCTCAGAAGGCAATTATTGGAGATGGGCCCTTTGATGGAGTGATAGGGGCTACTGCTGCCGTGGGGACTAATCTCATCTTTCTGATATCCTTGTAAGAAGAAATTAAGACACAGACAGGCAGAGAGGTACAATCACATGAAGTCAAAGGAGCTGAAAGCATACACAGCCAAGGAGACACGACAGCAGAGCCAGTCATGCAATACCCTGACCCAGCCCTCTACTCCCAGACTAAAGAACAAACACCTAAAGAGGACTGGAGACTAGGTGTCTACACTAAGTGTCTCCCATACCCCAGTGTTCTACGCTACTGATTGCTCCTGGCACACTGCTCTAAGGGACGGGGTACAGTGTAGATGTGTGGACTAGCCCCTGCCAGTAATTTGTGACCCAAGATCCAGGGGGCTGACAGATGCAGGAGTCAGGCAGGATGGCACCAGACGGGCCAGCACAGATACAGGAGAGTTGGAAGAGACTGAACAGTGGTAGGCAGAAGCTGGGATGGAGTGCCAAGTCACCCAGTGCCTGGGCTTTGAACTGCAAGGATGGACTGGAGAGAGAGGTCTTATCAGGCACTGATTTGAGGTTACATGTGGGGGGCCCAGTCAAGCTGTTTTGTGGCCCTAGGGGCCAGATGAGGGAGCAAGGATGTGGGGAGGTACCAGGCAAGGGTGGCGGTAAGCCATCACAGATTCAGCTCCACTGCCGAGAGGGCTCTAGTGTCCAACAGACCTCTTGAAGCAGCTACCCCAAGACTCATTTCCCTTAGAACAAGAACCCAGAGATGACCCTAAGAATGGAATTCCGGAAGGATGGAATTTCAAGGTTCCCTGGGCATTGAGAACCTTAGTGCCCATCATAATGAGCTGAAATTCCAAAGACAATCTCAACCTGAGCAGGCAACTGCACAGGAAGGGTGAGCGGCACACAGAACCCCTGGAGGGAGGGCCTTTAGGCCACCATGAAGGTACACAATGAAGCAGCTGTGGAGGCACAGATACAGGAGCTAAGGACCATCACTCGGCTCCAGGGTGAGCCTCACACTGCAGACTGCCACTCTGCTCTGCTACTAGACTAGGCAGCTTGCCATCCTACTACCCACCCAGGCTCCTACAGTGGGTAAAAGTCACAGAAAGGCCTGTCATCTGAGGGGTCCATGAGAGGAACTTCAAGAAGACCTGTGCATTTCCCACAATATTGGCCCAAAGTTGGAGGGATCAAGAAGGGGTCTGCTGTTTCTCTGCAAGAGCTCTGGAAGAGACAAGGGTGCCCCATTGCTGGTCTTGGCCTCACCCTCTTTACTGAGCAGCAGTCATCCCTAGAGAGGCCTGCAGATTACCGCTTTGAGCAGGGAAGCTTGTGAAGTTCAGAGCAGGGCAAGAGGAGAAAAAAATGATCACAAAGGCGATGCAATATTCCACTGCCCTCTCTAGACACTTTGCGGAGGTTCTTGGCCAGTTCTTTTCCCCTACTGTCTGGTAATCTTGTTCCCTACAGAACAATGCCGGGCGCTCCAGATCCAGGGTGTGAAGGAGAAGACAACACAGAACAAAGCTACACTGGGCCTCCTGCGCAGCAACCTCCATCGAGGGGCCCAAGAATGGGCTTTGGCTAAGAAGGTGCAAAAGCCCCACCCACTTCACAGCCTGGGATTAGGTTGTGGCCGCTCATGCACACACCCTACCCATCTCTCTGGACCAGAAGCCCTGCAGGGGTGGGTTCCTCTGTAACTGGTGCCCAGGGCAGGTTCCCTAACATCCACACAGAGACACTCTGGGGTCTCTGACCTCCTTTCCAGACCCCATCATACCAGAGCAGGGATGACCCTGGAGGGGTCCTGCACGCTCTGCTCAGGGGTCCTAGGACCAACGGTCTCCTTGCTGGGCTAGCGGCGAATAAGAGGCGCTGGGGGATATGCCTGAGCAATCAGTGCCAAGGGCCAGGCTTCAAGCTCAGCCGCCGCCGCTCCACAGCATGATCAATGGACCATCTCCAAGGCCTGCGGGAAGGATACGTCCATGAGGCTGGCACACTGCCGCAGTACTATGGAGGTAACGAGGCAGGCAAGGACCGAGAAGATCCCTTGCCCCTCTCGGCCCCAGTCCCCGAGGCCCGCCCCCAGTAAAGGCTACGGAGCCGGCAGAAGGCAAAGCTCGTCCCCATCTCTTGCTTCCCCGTGGGGCAGCCGCGGGTCCCCAGCCTGCTTCCTTCCTGGGGTCCCCGCAGCGCTCCCTCTCGCACCCACGCGCGGGCCCCCTCCCGGACCCAGGTGGCTCGGGAGAAACTGCGCAAGTACGTCTTCGACCGCGTGAATACACACAACATACTGATCCACCTGGTTCGGCGACGCGGACAGAAGCTGGAGAGCTTGCAGCTGGAGCTGGCCAGCTTGCGGAACCAGCCGGATGCTACTAAGGACGAACTGCGGCAGCTTCAGGTGCCCGGGGGTGGGGAGGGGCGGGGAGGGGGGGGGGGGGCGGGGGGGGGGGGGGCTCCGATCGAGCGCGGGAACTTTCGAGAGGAGACTCAGCCAGCTAGGCTTCCAGGGGGTGCGTCGGAGGATGTGGAGATTCTGTTAGGGGGACCAAAACTACTTCAGACAGGGACTCTGTTGTAAGGGCGGGGCCGCTGATTAGACAGTGTTCGGTGAGAAGAGTGTCGTCTCCTTTGCTGAGTGAGGGTCTGTGTAGGAGGAAAAACTCGGTAGCCTGTAGGACTGGCCTCCAATGGAGGGGTGGGGCAACACAAGGGTGAGACCTGCGGGTGGACCGGACCCTTTGGTTAGTCTGTGTCCTTATAAGGTTGTGTACAAACAGGAAAACTTACTAACAAGGAGCGGGAAATCGATGACTTGAGGTAATGTTTTATCACGCAGCTGTAAACATAAAGTTGGGAATCAGAGCCATTTTCTACATGGTGGCTGGGAAGTGGATAAGATGTACCTGAAGGCAGGGGCAGGATTAAGGGAGCCCAGCATGCTTGTGTGGAAGCCTAGCCCCGCCCCCACCCGCCACCCCTCTTATCCTCCTGGTCAGGGTTCAGTTGCTTCACACCGATGAGGATGAGAACTTGTGAGGAGGTGGGTCCTGTCACCAAGCTTTTTCAATGATTCCATAACCTCACCACCACCAGATTATCCGTCAACTGGAGAACAACATTGAAAAGACCATGATCAAGATCACCACCAGCCAGAACATCCACACGCTGTACAAAGAGCTGCTGGATTACTTGAAGAAGGTAACGCCCCTTAGCCAGAGAGCTGCTCCAAGCAGCGATCGACGCTGCCCTAAAGTATGTAGAAACAGTCCTTTGAGAACTTCATTTTTGTTGTTCCACACAAGCATATTATGGGCTGCACCCAGAATTTGCGCTTAAGCCTGGACATGGTAGCACAAGTATATCACTCAAGAGACTAAGATGGGACGATTCCAGGCCAGCCTGGGCTACACAGTGAGACTCTATTTAACAGATCTAAAAACAGATGTGAATGATCACACACCACAAAAACACAGAATTCTTTCTTTCACATATTATATGGCTTAATCCGGGTCTCTGAGGATATGAGGTAGGCCCCCCAGGAAATCCCCCCAGGAAATCCCCTAACATGCTTCAGGACAGACTCTTCTCCTTCCTCCCAAAATATGTTGAGCACACAATATCCTGCCTACTTTAAATCTGGCTCTCCCCTGC